ACAAGAGGGCGTGAGAATTGTCACGTGATCTCGATGACGCAACAGTATTAACAAGAGCTAATGACGAACTTTTTTGTAAACTTAGTTAAAAGTCTTGTAGTATTTCGGAACATCTTATGGTTCCAGTCTGTAAATACTCGTCTGCTAAACTGAGTAAATAATAAGTTTTTCGCCACAAAACGTGTTAACCGAAATTAAAGAAAGATAGATAACTAAGAAGAGCTGTCTTACATGAATTCCTTAAGTTTTGATAACATGAATATCATTCTTAGATCCAACATCCAAAACTTGTTTGTTTGTTTTTTGTACCGTGTCAGTTATTATTGTCTTTATTTTCCAGTCTGATGAATACGACAGCTTACTTTGTTTGAAACTTTCAGTACAGCTTCATGTAAGTACCAGGAAGTTCTTCTACACACAAAAATCTAATATAAATAATTATACAAATCTGAAACAACTTGCTATAACATCTTGAATAAAACATTTATAACTGAGTGTGTTGATATAATCAGTTCCATGTTAGTGAATCGCAAAAAAAAATCACAATAAACAGAATGGAACAACACACCTTAATCCATTTTATAAACGTATTCCGATACATTAGTTATGTCTAATTATATACCTAGCTAGAGGCAACTCGTCTTCTTTGTTTCTGCCAGGGGTATTGATTCTAAAAAAAGGTTTCTTAGTACGCTCTGATTATGAGGCCAAGTTCATATATAATAAAAAACGATTTACCCTTATTTACGATGTCTACCTACCCGTAAGAAGGTAGGACACCAATGATTTGTCGCTGCTGTTGCACCATAAATAAGTGTAAAATATTTAAATTTAACTCTAGAACGCGAAATGTTAGGTTATATTAATTGTATTTCCTTTCAGTTATCAAAGTTTTCTTTTTTTTATGATATTGTATATACATCTTAGAGAAACGTATATCTTCCTCGGATATCTTTTATTTCTGTCTAACTCATCTATAGCTTCATATTTATTAACGTAGTTTAAAATAATAATATTTTATTTCTTTTTTAATCTCTGTTTTTAGAAAGCCGTAATCAGCATCACTGAACACTACAGTGGACTTTCCATTCTGGCTTCATGTATAATGAGTAATTTCACTAAGTCTCGAGTGGTGGCGCTTGAAGTGAGTTGCTACAAAATAATTGTAGAACAAAAGTGTAGAATTATATTAATAAATCTGACCTTACTAGTAATATATAAAACTTAAAAGGTTAAAAATAAAATAATATATATTTATATACTGCATAAAACATTTGGTTCTAATGGAAATAAGTATTGTTTCTCAGTTATTTGTGATCCAAATATTCGTTTGAGATGTGATCGAAGGTGGATTTAAACTGTATTTAGTTAATGTACATCTTTGCAAAGAGAAAATCGATTTAGAATAAGTTGACATATTTCAATAAATGAAAAGTTTTTGGGTAAATCACAGTAAACGTTTACATTCACTTTTGTTTGCTGTCGTTCCGATAATGTGATGTCTTGAAACGTAACGGGATAAATTATCCCACTTCTGCTAGAAAGGGGACAATCTTGAAACGTAACAGGATAAATTGTCCCACTTCTGCTAGAAAGGTGACAATCTTGAAACGTAACGGGATAAATTATCCCACTTCTGCTAGAAAGGGGACAATCTTGAAACGTAACGGGATAAATCATCCCACTTCTGCTAGAAAGGGGACAATATTGAAACGTAACGGGATAAATTGTCCCACTTCTGCTAGAAAGGGGACAATCTTGAAACGTAACGGGATAAATTATCCCACTTCTGCTAGAAAGGGGACAATCTTGAAACGTAACGGGATAAATCATCCCACTTCTGCTAGAAAGGGGACAATATTGAAACGTAACGGGATAAATTATCCCACTTCTGATAGAAAGGGGACACTTAGAATGACAAGTAACTTCGTCAAAAAAAGACAAAACTTTCTGCTTGACTTAAGTAAAAAACGTTTAGAAAACATATTTTTGGAAGCAATTAAATTGTAAAATATGTAAGTTATTTTAATTGTTTTGTAGATTTTGGGCAAAGTTTGCGATGTCTGTCCCGAAGGTTACATCAAAATCCTGGAAGCGATGTCGTCGGTGAAACTAATCTTTGGAGAATCTGTAAGATTCAAGTTTCTAGTGTCCATGTTAATGGGAAGTGGGAAGACTGCCCAGGGCTTTGAGGTGAGCGTTCTTGTTTGTTTGTTTGTTCACCATGGCAGGTATTTCGATTTAAAACTTTTATCTTAAGTCAAATTAGATTTGAATAATTAATTTCCACCCAGGGCCAAAAGCAATCGGGGGATTCAGTAACAATTATCTGTTCCCCCCTCTCCTGTACTAGATGGATCACTAGATGGCATAAGAGACAGTGATATATAACAAAAAAAAGTAATATATTAAATCTGGTTAGGAGGACTTGGATGGCTCGGATCAAGATAATGGTATGCTTATTTATCTTGGTTGGTTTGGGAGGTTACAACAATTTCACTTTAAAAAAACAACACAATTTTGGCTGAAAGCTTATATAGGCTAAAATTGTGGTTACGAGGTGGAGCCACTGTTCTATGCTTCCGGCAGTGTCGCGGAGTTTTAGGGCGGCTTAGATATCCACTTGTTTGAACATGCCGTCCTTAGAATTACGTTTTGCACTTTTAAACATTGATTACTTTTGATTAAAACAAAACTCGTTATCGAAAGGAGAAATATGAATGCGGAAACGAAGAAAGAACACGGTTTTAGGATAATGTCTGATCAGGGGCTATTTTAAGGAATTTTCAGAGCTTCACATTGTAACGTCCCCATAAAACGCTGAGCATTATTTGACGTAGTTATTAATTTATTTAATGTTTGTCGATTTGCTTTTCGCGATACAAAAGTCGGTTTTTGCGCATAATAAAAATGTTAGTGAGATCATACATACTCTGTATGTTAGATATCCATGAAACTTTTATTAAAATTTTATTTAATAATGCTGAAATCTACATCATATTGTAGGGTTTGTTGTTATACATAAAATGTTATGTATATATTTAGAGACAAATGTGTTGTTCTGCAGCTTTCCGGTATTTACAACTACACATTGAACTTCTAGAAGTACACAAAATTGTCTAAGCTGTACGTTAAAACGACCCCTGCAAAAAATGTGTATTTGTTTGTAGTTTGCACAAAGCTGCATAATGGGCTATCCGTGCTGTGCCCACTACGAATATCGAAACCTGGTTTTTAGCGTTATAAGTCTTCAGACTTATCGCTGAGCCACTGGAGAGAGGATATAAAATGAAATAACATTTTTTATTATGATATTCAGATATTAAACATGTCTTATTTACAAAGTTGACGCGAGTTTAGTGAAGTAAAATAATAAGGAAATGAAGTAATCAAACCAAAAAGTGAATTACGAAATAACAAGTTCATAAACACATCTAAATTATTATACAAGATAGAAGCGAAAGAAAAGTATAAAATCTCATCAAAAACACACTGTGTAAAAATACAAGCCAAACATAAAGCAATTTATAAAGAACAAAACGTTTAGATAAATTACATATTTAGGAAACTAAATAAATTTAATTTGATTTACTTGGTTTGTCACAATATTTTATAGTTGTAAACAACAGTTACTTCTGGTTATTTAATGTTTTAACATGCTCTAATGTAAATGAAAAGAAGGTTCCAATAAAACGTAACCAAAATGACACACCGCGTTTATCAAGTTTTTAAGTTTCCATAATATCTTTCACAAAAGTATTTGACTTCACAGTTTTGGATGGCTGAATGTTCTTGTCCCTCATGATTGGCTTGTAGATTACATCTGAGAACTTACCATGAATATCATATAACAAAGTCTAGGCACCTAGGCCTAGCCTACATCTGAGAACTTACCATGAATATCGTATAACAAAGTCTAGGCACCTAGGCCTAGCCTACATCTGAGAACTTACCATGAATATCGTATAACAAAGTCTAGGCGCCTTTACCTAGCCTACATCTGAGAACTTACCCTGAATATCGTATAACAAAGTCTAGGCACC